GTGAATGTGGCTTAGGGAGTCCCGGCGCGGAGAGCTGCGCTATAGACTTACCCCAATAGGTCTGAGGATAGTCACATACACTTTATTTTATACAACACAATTCTCTGTTACTTCCAACATATTATCCTGCTACAGTTTCAAAATAAACTACATTGATGGTATACAAATCATTTGCATAGACGTTATTTGCCTGATGTGGAGCTGATGAAGCCTTGTGGGCAATACCAGTTCTGATTTACCCAATGCTTTCATTTTTCTGTCTACACATCCTCAAAACATTTATTGAAAAACTGGCAGGCAGAAAAGCAATCTGTTAAACCAATACAGTCATTCATCTCAAAGAGTCTCTGAAGAATTGGTGAATATCTTAAAATTACAGTCTGGTTACATTGGGTCATTTGAGACTTTTGCTAAAAGTAGCTATCTAAAAAGAAGTATCAAAAAGTAGATATCTACTTTTATCAAAAGTAGATGTAAAATTTTAAAAGTGAATTTTATTGTATACTTGAGATTTATAACTTGATATTACAGAATACACACAGATACTAAGGGGGGTTACCACAGAGAGGCAGATAATACAGCTATCACTTCACATAGTTAATTTTTATAGAAACAGCTAAAATTGATTTAATAAACATCCCTAACACAATAGTTTTGCTATCATCTTGATGTTGCACATTATATATCTAGACACATGCATCCTACATTCTGCTGCTCAGTGCCATTTGACCTGTGTCCCCTCTTTCCTCCTCAGCTGTGGTGACCACTGCTTTATTCTCTATGTTTGAATATTTTGCCTTCAAAAATGAATTTTGCTCAGTGTCAAAGTGATTTCCTTCAATAGCCACAGCATCATTCTTAGCATTGCTAATATTCTTATTTCTTTTTTTATATTTCATTTATTATTTTTATTTTATGTGTATGAGTGTATTGCCTGCATGTATGTGAGTGCACCCGGGTGTGTTGTGCAATGCCATGGAGGTCAGACGAGGGCTTTGGATTCCCCTGGAACTGGAGTTAAGGACGGTTGGTAGCCGCCATGTGGGTGCTGGGAATCGAACCTAGATCCTCTGCAAGAGCAGTCAGTGCTCTTAGCTGCTGAGCCATCTCTCCAGCCCCAATATATTGCTATTTCTAATATCACTCTATTATCTTTTATTTGCAACTCTTTTTGGTTCCACAGCTCCTTTTCCACAAGGAAATGACTGGGCCAGAAATTTACATTTAGCCTTTTTGCTATTTAGTCAATTTCATACACAACCACAGTATGCTTGATGCTATGCTGTGTTCATGCTTATGTGTATCCGCCATATAGTTTTCCATGGGAGTTCCATGTCTCTTGCGTTATCTCGCCAGACTTATATATCAAGGACAGGCTTAGTAAACGTTTACTGTATACAGAAGTATTGCGTGTTTATGGTAGAGTAATTCTGTAAGCGCGTAACACTGCGTCTGTACAAGAGCCCCCTTGTTTGCTCTCTAAGACGACTCCCATAATTTTCTGTATTCCCTGTCACTCAGGTAACAATCCTAGAATCCAAGCATCCAATTTGCCCAGGGAATGCATCCGGCGTTTCTTCCCAAAACGGAAGTGCTTTGTCTTTGACCGGCCAACATTTGACAAAGGACTCCTACTCAGTATTGAGACTATCTCAGAAGATCAGCTGGACCCTAAATTTCAGGAACACACAAAGGGTTTCATTTCTTACATCTTCGTGTCTGGAAAGATCAAGACTCTCAGAGAGGGAATTGTGGTTACTGGGAATCGTGAGTCGTTTTTCACATTTCTGTGTAATACATTTGAACATACTGGGATGTGGATGTTATTTTTGGTTGATTTCATATTCAGTGATTATGTGCATGCATTCTTGCTCTGAAGAAACACTCATACTTATTCATGGAAGATTACAAGTCATTCAAAGTAGAAAACTTTGTAATTGGTATTAATGACTTCCACAAATCTAAAAAATTCTCAACGGATAATAAAATCACTAGTGAAAAAGGTTTCAGTTAATAATAAACCACTATTAAGATCACTATCTTCACAGGGGAAGTCTTACTTATTAATTGTTCTTTGCAAAGAAAATATGAACTATGTTTTGAAGTTTTAAGTGGTTTTGACAACAAATACTAGTGTTTAAGCCCATGTAAGTCCACACTTCAGCATTAACAGCAAAGACAATCAGATATGTGCTGTCTTACTGGTCTACTTATGCATTTTTTTCTTTCAACTTTTATTTGGGAAATTACATTTTTCGTAGGCATCTGAGTTTATTAGGTGAATGTGCATATTTGAAAAAATTAAACTTAAAAAATTAAACAGTAGACTGGAAAAACTATAAAAATGAAGGGCCAATAGAAAAAGAAATTGATGGCAGGATATATTTATCTTTAAAAAAGGTTTATTTTTACTTTTAATTATGTGTATGCATGTGTGTCTGTTGTGAGGGTCTGTGTACATGAGTACAGCTGTGAGGTCAGAAGAGGATGTCAGATCCACTAGAACTGGAGTTTCAGGTTGTTCTGAGTCAGTTGATGTGCATGAGTGCTGGGGACCAAATGTGAGACTTCTGTAAGAGAGCTATGTAGTCTTACCTGCTGAGCCATCTCTCCAGCTCTGAGATTTTTTCTTGTGGGTGTATGTGTATATGTGTATGTGTGCATGTGTATGTCTATGTGTCTGTGTGTACATGTGTAGCTATGAGAGAGATTTTCAAAATGCAGTCTCAGAATCTTAGATCCTATTGATTTTTAACTTCACGTATCTCCTAAAAAATTCTGGTTCATGGGCTGGGAGCAATGGTGTGCACAAATCCATACTCTGAAAAATGCTTATACTTTATAATTACTTGTCAGGGCTTACAAATTCTTCTTTAAAATGCAGACTTTATCACTAGTATCTATGGCTACATAAAATTCTCAATTGATAATAAAATCGTTAGTGAAAAAGTTCTCAACTGATAAATCACAATCAAAACTACTAAAGCAGATACATTCTATTTTCACAGAAGATATCTATGTATTAATATGTATTAATGATTCTTTGCAATGAGAATATGAAATGTAATTTGGAAGTTTAAAGTAGTTCTAGTAAAAGCACTCATGATTAAGTCTCTGAGACTTTGGATTTAGCAACAAATATGGTATACCCTGTCTCGTTAGCATACCTAGGTAATCTATTTTCCTTTCAGGTTTAATTATAAAATTATACTGTCTCATAGGCAGTTGAACTTATTAGATGGAGTTGACTGTTTAATTTTTAAAATATTTTATATTATACTTTATTAATTTTTTAATACCAGAAAAAATAAATTTATAGCAAACTGAAGGAGGCGTGTGTGTGTGTCTGTGTGTGTGTGTGTGTGTGTGTGTGTGTGTGTGTGTGTGTGTGTACGCACATACATGCACCTGCAAATGAAAAATTTTAGAAATGTAGTCATAAAATCTTGGATCCCATTGACTTAAAACTTCATATTTATCCCCTAAAATTCCTGGCTCATGGAGGATTGGGGGCTCTGGTGACAACCTATGTGGATGCCATTAACAGCGGAGCAGTGCCTTGTCTGGACGATGCGGTGACAACCCTGGCTCAGCGTGAGAACTCCATGGCTGTGCAGAAGGCAGTTGACCACTACAGTGAGCAGATGGTCCAGCGAGTGAGTCTCCCCACAGACACGCTCCAGGAGCTGCTGGACATGCACACAGCCTGTGAGAGGGAAGCCATTGCCGTGTTCATGGAGCACTCCTTCAGGGATGAAAATCAGGAATTCCAGAAGAAGCTAGTGGTAATTTGTTTGGGTCATTAACTGTCCTAACTCTTCTTGAAGAATGAAGCCTTGAGGAGCCCTATTGACCCCAACGTGCATGTCACATTCAAGGATAAAACATTTCTGATTATAATGATGAATATAGGTGCAAAAAACTACATGTTTTCCTCCCCAGATTTCAAGTACCTTTATCTACAAATCTCTCTGACGATTAGAAAATCAGTATATATCCTCCATAATACTCCTGGTAGATTCTGGTTAATATGGTCATGGATGACAAATCTGTCCAGAGCACTCACAGGTCATCCCTGAGCTGGTTATGTTTTTCTGTGGACATTTCTCCTATTCCTAGAAACCAAAGTTTTGTTTGCCAGAGCCCCCATGGGGGTCACTGTTCATCCCCTGTTGCTCCTTGTTGTATCCGTTGATAGAATCACAGGATGCAACAGTTGCTGGGAACCATAGAAACTGTAGGGTGCAGTCTCATCATTTTACAGAGGGGAGTCTTGATGAGCAGGAATGTTAAGAAAGTTTCCCATTGTCTTGTGCGAAGCTTTTAAAGCTGTGAATGAAGTCAGATTTTGAGATTGCTGATTCATTCCAAGTCTTGCTATACTAGAATGCTTTCTCACGAGAAATAGGTTGACCCTTTACTGACTTCTTTGGAATTTTATCTCTTCTATTTCTTGTTTCTCTCTCTGTACATTTCCTTTGTAGGAATCAATAGAGATTAAGAGGGCAGAGTTCCTGCTGAAGAATGAAGAGGCGTCAGATAAATACTGCCAGGAAGAAATGAATCAGCTTTCAGAAGCCCTAATGGAAAATATTTCAGCAGGAACATTCTTGGTTCCCAGAGGACACAAGCTCTACATGGAAAGAAGGGAAAAGATTGAGCAGGACTACTGGGAAGTGCCCAGGAAAGGAGTCAAGGCAAGGAAGAGGGAGTATGGGGAGCTCAGAGCAGGGCATAGGGGTTGGCATAAAATCTGAGACACTACCATTTGAGAGGGATAAGAAAGTGTGAGGATTATAGAACACTTTCAGCTTTTATTTTTCCAGTACTGGGGCCCCTGCAATGCAGGTCAAGTGCTCTACATGCATGTCCATCCCCTTATCCACTTTTAGCTTTATATATAATATAGATATATATTATGTATAAAGTATATATATATATATAGATACTTTTTAAATTGAACTTCTGTGCATTTCATACAATACATCCTAATCATATTTAGACTCAATTCCCTGCCTGCTCCCCTCATGCCCCCCCCCCGCCAGATTTCATGCATTCTGTCATATATGGATGAGCTTACACTGAGGGACATTTGGGGGCACTTTTAGCTCTTAATGACTGCTATTTACAACTTATACTTGGAAAAGTTCACTCAGTACCACTAAAATATTAGGAACTTCAGAAATCCAGGAGAGATGGAATAAGAACATCTTCATTCAAAAACATGATTTGCATTGTGCTACATGTTGGCAATTTATAAGGTGTAGTGAGTCTTCATTCTCAAGACTCATCAATGTGAGAGTCAGCTAAATAGAAAGTTATCTTATAGAAAGATAACTTTATGAATGGACCACGAGGTGTTGGTAATAAATAATAGCAAACCAAGATTTATTGTATTTAGGTATTTAAGTATTGTATTTAAGTATTATTGCCTAATGATGCAACGATGAGCTCTTTCCTTAGACCTTTTCATTTGTCTTCTAAATAACTTTAGGTAATACCTACCAGTATTCTAGGTGTTTTACACATCTGTACAATGAGGCCAAGGCAGTTGAAATAACTTGCTTATGGTTCAGTCCAGCAAGGACAAAAGGCAGAATTTACATCAGAATGAAAACAAATAAAAGCCTCTTAGCTACAGTGAGCACAGCTGCACATTATGGGAACAGGTTGGGACTGAGAATGGGAGGGGGAAGGGGAACTAGCAGAGGAACCGAGGGCCATGGAGTAGGAGGTGTGGAGGGTTTCTGTGCCACAGAAGAGCTTGGACATTTAGTAGGGATTCACTATAGAATTTTTAAAATGAGACAAAATGGTCTGAATATGTTGACTTTTGCACCAGCAAGCTCCCCAACATTAATCCAGCTTCTTGCCTACTTCTTGGTTCTACAGGCAAGGGAAGTCTTCCAGAAGTTCCTGGAGGCACAGGCAGCCATTGAGAGTTCCATCCTGAAGGCAGACACAGCCCTCACTGCTGGGGAGAAGGCCATTGCAGGTACAGAGCAGGCGGCAGCTTTCAGAAGAGCTTGAGATTTCTACAGTGTTTTACTGGGAGAAGGGTCAGCAAACCCCTTCTCAGATTAGGAACTTTCTGTCCTCTGTGGGATGCTCACTCTGAGAGGAGCAGGAAGTCATGGCTGTGTTTCAGGCCCTCTCCCATAACCTTCAGAAACGTGCTCTTGGTAGCTGTGGACCTGTGTGGCTTCTATGATTTCCTGCGCTCTGCTTCAGATTTCTTTTGCTTTCTTAGTTCAGGAAGGTGGAGATTGACCTAACCCCCTGCTTTCTGCCCTCTCTCCCCTCTTCCCTGGACAGAGGAGCGGGCCCAGAAGGAGGCGGCTGAGAAGGAGCAGGAGCTGCTGAGGCAAAAGCACAAGGAGCAGCAGCAATTGATGGAGACTCAAGAGAGAAGCCACAGGGAGAACCTTGAGCAGCTCCGAGAAAAGCTGGTGCAGGAGAGAGAAGAGATGATGAGAGAGCAGGAAAAGATGATGGAGCACAAGCTGCAGGTGGGTCTCCTTGGCTTCCTGGTACCTGGTAGTCCTGGAGTCCCAAGTGGGATGGGGAAGATGATAGCCAGATTATGAGAGAAAACACTTTCCATGTATTACTGTTCAGGATTCATAAAAGCCCCTAATCTCTCTCTTTTTCATGATGACTTCAATCTTTGCTCTATATTTAGACTCTGGAGAATACAGGCACCTACAGCTTCTATAGGATCCTGCAAAATAGAATTTGGTAGGGTTTGAGCTGCTGATTTAAGAGATTTTAAAAATGATCTCACAAGGATTAAGTAAACAGACATTCAAACCAGGCACAGACAATAGGAACAGCAGTTGGTTTGCATATTTAAGAATGATCTATACTGACATAAAATTTCAAAAAAATTTCCAGACTGAAAAGTATGGGGAGCTGGTACCTCCCAACTTCTTCCTGAGTAGATGGTAGTATGACCTGCCGGAGGAGCACGAGGCACTGGAGTGACTCTCCTTGTCCAGTGGTAGCACTTCTGAGCCAGCAGATAAGCTGCTATTATTTCTATGCCTTAGTAGCCCAGGGTCTGAGAATCTGGGCAGTCAGACCCATGGCAGTTTTGTGGGTATGAATGTAAGGATTGGTTCTTTTTTAGCATGGCACCAAAACAGTAATGGTGGGTGAATATTACTAAAATTTAAGCTATCATTCCTCACAATATGTAGGTCTAACTTAGACAATGTTGTTTGTGTTAAATTATCCTTTGGAAATGGAGAGATAATTTTTAGAACTTCAGGAGTAAGCTAAAGACAGTTTGACCAAGTTTTTAAATGAAAATACTTTGGGAATTTAAAACATTTGCTTCCCTCATAGGCGGCTGGAGTGATGGCTCTTGCAAAGTACCCAGGCTCGGTTCCATGGTGGCTAACTGTCTGTAACTCCACTTCCAGGGAATCTGACACCCTCTCCTGACCTCCCTGGGCATTGCATGGCATGGGTGCACTTGCATACATGCGGGCAATACACTCATACACATTAAAAAATAAAGGAGCGGGGAGGGGAGCTGGAGAGATGGCTCAGCAGATAAGAACACTGTCTTGTTCTGCAAGCAGAAGACCCGGGTTTGAATCCCAGCACCACCCACATGGCAGCTAACAACTGTCTGTAACTCCAGTTCCAGGGGATCCGACAGCCTCTTCTGTCCTCTGTGGGCATTGCACGACACAGGTGCACTTACCTACATGCAGACAATACACACATACACATAAAATAAAAATAATAAATAATTTTTTTTAAAAAGGAGCAGAGAACAATTAAATATTTACTTCCCTCTCCACTTTTACTTTTTCAGGCACAAAAGGCTTTGCTTGCTGAGGGATTTAAGAAGAAATCTGAGGAGATGAATGCAGAAATAAATAATCTGAAAAATAAGATTGAGATTATGATGAAAGACAGTAGCTCCTTTTTGGACCAAACCTTGAATGCCTTTGCTACTGTTCTCTGTGCTCCTATTATATTAGCTGTTGAGGTTATGAAAGGCATCGCTTCACTGTTTTAAAAGGATTCACTCTCGCTGGGCGTGGTGGCACATGCCTTTAGTCCCAGCACTCCAGAGGCTGAGTCAGGTGGATCTCTGTGAGTTCAAGGCCAGCTTGATCTATATAGTGAGTTCCAGGCCAGCTGGGACTGCAGGGAGACCTGTCTCAAAAAGATCAAAACAACAACAACATAATACAATAAAAATTAAAATGATTCACTCTTATTTGAGGGACTGATAGGCTGTGAATACTTGCTTTGTCTTATTCTAGAGCTGTAGGTTTTTCATTCCTTCAGCAGAGTTTAAACATAAAAGATACCTACTAGAGGTCATCAGAGCCTGGCTTACATTAGAACAAGAGCATGTATATTTGAGAGACAATGCTTGTTTCCAGGAAACAAATTAGCAACATCATGTGGAAGAGATCTGGTGAGTTATTGCTTGTAATGGTGATAAATTTGAAATGAATTAAATGTCGTTTGGTATGATAAGTAATGTAAATGTTAGTATGTGCCAACACTGGAATACTATGTAGTCAGGAAACAGAATGTCAGTGGAGCTTGCTGTGTACTAATATAAAGTGAGCTTGAAGAGCTGTGAGCTGTGTACTAATATAAAGTGAGCTTGAAGAGCTGTGAGCTGTGTACTAATATAAAGTGAGCTTTACTTTATAAGGTATGTCAAAGCATCACACATAATGTAATCATTAAAATGTAACTATTCCATGCAAACATACATATGAACAAATGCAAAACACCTTCTGAAAGACTCATGAAAAACTGGATTCTTTGGCCTCATCTGGGAAAACAAGTTGATTGTAGTGAACTTGCATTTCATTAAATATTCAGTCTTTTAAATTTCACAAACAATGCTTGGAAATAAATAATATTTACAGCTTACATTGATAGTGATGGTAATTAGGGTGAAATTCATGATTACATGATGAAACTTCTCACTGTTTCTAGAAATGGCAGGAGCCTGCTCCCTGCAATATCTAAGATGAAGATCTGAGCATCACACAGTGCCAAGCTTGAATCTTAATGCAGTTTTCGTTGTGGCCTTTCAAAACAAATCCCTATATTTGCTTTGAAGTTGAGATATAATGTTTTTTGTGACTTCTGAAATCACAGCCAAAGGACTTTCTACACTTGTGTCTGAATTCCTCCTCAGGGGTCAGAAGCACAATCACCACACACTATGAATATGCTTCACCTTGTTCTAGTTTAGGTGGCGATTTCTCTGTGGCCAGGACAGAGGGAAGAGGTGCTTTTCATTACTTTAGCTCTTGATGGGAAATGAGAGAAACAGACACAAGAACACTCAGAAAAATCTTTGTCCAAATTATTGGCAGCTGTATCAAGCTATCATGTAAGACTAAACATTGGACATGTATGTTTTTGGGATTTCAATTTGGTGATTGAAATGTTTATTGGAAGTGTGAAACTGAGGCGCCAAGAGACCAGAATGCTGAGTTGGCTGTGCCCATAGAAGTTGAAATCTCTGTAAATGATAGTAATAGTAATGATGCATTAGTTACTTTCCTGTGGCTGTGATAACATACCATGACCAAGATAACACATAGAAGGAAGAGGTTATTTGTGCACACGGTTCCAGATGGCGGGGAGGCGTGGCAACAGGGTAGGAGTCCTGTCGTGGCAGGGAGCATGGAGGCAAGTGGCAGGCCTGGACACAGGAAGTTGAAGGCTCAGATCTTCAGTTGCAAATACAAAGCAGAGAGAGAGAAATTGAAGTGGGTTCCTCCACAAGGGTACACCTCCTCAAGGCTCCATGGCCTCCCAAAGGGCATCACCAACTGGGTCTTCAAGTTCTGGAGGCTTATGGGGGACGTTTCTCGTTCCACATATGGGAAGAAAGATGGGGCATGTCTAAAGTCAATCACCAACGAGGAAGAAGGAAAAATGGCAACTTTGCTTAGTATGATTATAAGAAAGGGTAATGGATAAGAATGAATGCCGACATTCCAAGAAGAAATCTGGATGAATAGTTGGGAAGTGAGAGATTAAACAGAGGGGCTCCTACTTCATGTTTAGTTCCTAGGATGTGAAGCAACTCAAAATTAATAGTATCTGTTTTTTCAGGAAGCAAAACCATCAAAGGTTCAACAGGTTTCAATTGTAGCCCAAATCTGAAAGACTTTAGAGTAGAGGTGGAATGTAGAGAAGTCTGCTAATGATAGACGATGTTTTTCCAAGGGCACAGGAAAGACATTATCAAGTTAGGCCGAAGACTGAGACAGATGCAGGGATCTAAGATGAAGCAACGCATGAGTGAGCATTCATGCACAGTAAAGGATGCTTCTATTCTGATAGTGACTGAGTTGAATGTGAGTGGGGAGAGGTAGGAATGGTCCTGGGATTGTAGGAATGTGCCATAGCTGCAGGTCATAAGGTGATTAGTCATTTATCTCTGTAGATCCATTGTGACATCAAGTGCCTTGGAGATGTAAGACCAATTAGCTTCCTTTAATATGAAACAAAGACATAGAGAAGCAAGAAAGGGCAGAGTCTGAGGTATCTCTCTTTCCTCCTCTTAGGGGAAGATGTCCTATGAAGTAGTTATGGAAACCATAACTTCCCCTTAGCTCCAGCTGGCCTGAAACTCACAATGTAGGCCAGGCTGGCCTTGAACTTACGGAGATCCACCTATCTTTGCCTCCCAAGTCCTGGGACTAAAGGCATATGCCACCATGCTGGGCATGCTGGAATGCCAGTTCTAAGAACTTCTTGGATGATTTCTGAGGAGCTGTAAACCAGTTTGTTGAAGGTTCCTAAGATGTATGACCCTATTTTCATAACATGAGTCAGTGATCAAAGTATGGTCCTGGTAGCCCAATCAGACCATGTCTTCTCCCTCATCTTCTGCCATTTGGAACCTGTATTGGCCTCATTTGGACTAAATTTTTGTAGGTGTTGGATAAATTAGTCTTCCGGGTCAAGCAGAAATTTCTTAATAGGACAGATGAGTACTCAAGGTACTAGAAATAGCACATTGAATTGCTTCTTATTAAGAGTAACAAAATTTCAACTGAAAGTTTCATGAAGTCCAGTGGTAACTATGTCTGTACCAAGCAATGCACCATTCACACAGTTGCTTTAAACATCATGTGTACCTTCATAACTATGATGGTATTTTCATTACTTTTCTCATCGCTGTGACCAAATATTTAGCAGCAAGCACTTTAATAGAAAAGGATTTCCTTTGACTTACAATTGAGGGAATACATTTCTTCATGACAGACAGCACGGCACCAGGAATAGGAGGCAGACTCGTCACATTTTATCCACAATCAGGAAGATGAGAGTAGGGCCAAGCTATACAACCTCAAGGCCTTCCCCCTGTGACCCACTTTCTGCAAGGAAGTTCACCATCCCAAAAGTTCCATAGCCTTCTCAGGTAGCACTTCCATCTGGTAACCATTAACACATGAGCTTATGGGGGGCATTTTACATCTAAGCCATAACAGTGCATGCCTGGACTCCCTGTGCTCATGACTAGCCAATGATGTAAAGTACATCCATTCCATCTTCAACTTTAATGGTCTCATCAGTGTTCAAAAGTCAAAAGTCCAAAATCTCTTCTCAGATGTAAGACAATCTCTTAACTGTGGTACTCTATGAAATTTTAAAGATCGTATATGTCTAACATCTAAAGGTACATAGTAAAAATTTCCATCCAAAAGGGAGGAATGAATGAGTAGCAAAGAAAGATCAGATCAAAGCAAGACTGAAACCCAGCAGGGAAAACACAAGTCTTGAAGCTCCATGTTGGGCCTCTGAGGTTGGTTATGCAATCATTTAGGATCCAAAGGACTGGGGTAGCCTCTGTCTGCAGAACACATAGCCTTTCTCTCAGGCTGGCTCCATTCTGTGCCTATAACATTCCTTGATAGAGATGCCCCATAGTCCTGACATCTCCAGCATCCAGGAGTTCCTACTACAACTTAGGTTTCACCTTAACAGAATCACACAATGTCCTCTCAGAGCCTCCTTACAGACACTCCAACCTTGACACACATTGGCTGGTCTCAGAGACTCTATGAAACCATGGAACAAGACTCCATGACCCTTTCTGTTTTGCAATGTCTGCGAAACCAGTGCTGTGTGGATAATGGTGCCAAATTCTGTTCCCAGCTTACATGTAGCCTGGTCATCTTACACCACAGTTGCATCAGCTTTGTATGTTGACTCTGAGGAAACACTTCTCCAGGCAGTCTTTTTTTTTTTTTTTTTTTTCGTTTTTTTGTTTTTTTTTTTTTTTTTTTTTTTTTTTGAAAAGAGAAAATTTCTTCAGAGTAGAGTCTGTCC